GCCATACCCTAGGAAAAGTTATCTTTCGGTTTTAAAATAGCTTCTAATTCTGAGACTTTAAAGTCCGTGAGATGTACACACATACAACATCGAACATGTCCGTTTAGCAACGTCCGCGTCCATTGCAAAATTTTATGAACTCGAGATGGTATCTTCTCAAGAAACGAAGGAATATATGATTTTCCCTTCGCGGAAAGTAAACACCTTGTTGACCGAAATCATCAAAGGCTAATGGAACGACTGATGAGACTTCAAATTAGTCGGCAACCAGAAAAATTTTTTAAAACCCAATCCTCCTTCTTCGACCATAAAATATAAAGTTGACGTGACTCTGTATTAAGCGACTGAAAGCAGGCATATTTTTGTTCATGGTTTCTATAAAATTTATTTGAATTTCCGACATACCAAAATCAGTTCGAAAAATGCATGTTACTTAAGTAGTCATTCTTAAACGAGTGTGGTTTCCGTATGCAGTCGAAAAGAAATGCATCCAAAAGCTGATATCCTGACGAGTCCGAAATCATATAGGATTATTCTGTGCGATAATCAATCTTGCAACCTCAACTAAGTAATTCTTCCTAATCGAGAACGCATTTCAGAATTTCGGCCAATACTTCATGAGATCGACCGCGCACTGTATACTCCACTTTCTTAGTCAATGACCAGCCCCTAAATGTGTGATCTTGTGAAAATGTCTATTTTGTTGACATTTCTTTCAGAGAAATCAAGCAAAATCCTTTTTATCTCAGTCAGTCACAAATCCGCTAATGCATAAAGGGAAAAAATCACATCGACGCCTCGTGGAGCCGTTCTGAAAGGCATAATTACACATTAAGCGGTAACAATCGGGAGATGGCACCCAAAAAATCCGCCTAACCAAAGCAGCCTGTCTTACAGGACAGGTGGCAATAGGGGTTTTAAGCACTTGCCCCATTGGGGTTTTGCATATTATACGAAGTCTTGGTGGATGATTTTACTGTCCTTTTTCAAACGCTGTTATACTGATGACGCTTTATTTATTTGATCTTTATAGACCTACGGTATGTAGTTTAACAAACAAATTTCACTCATCTGACACGAATTTTTGCGTTTTCAACATTTCTAGTTTTCTTAGGAAAATCAACACTTCTCTTTTTATTTGTCTTATCAAGTCACTATCGTGCACTTTTGACTGGGGCTCTTAGTTGATGCATCGGAATTTGTTTTCGGTGGACTGGGTGCTTGTTCTGACTTCACGCACAGTTTATAATTTACGTCGCGGACGGATTACTGTCTGGCAAAATTACTCAGCCATTACACTTTGTCCGCAATTCATTGCATTCAAGAATGACGCCATCTACTGCCAGAAAAGCGGATTCCTATGTTTACGCCATTCCCCTGAAAACTGTTATTTTTACGGAGGATTTTCGATAATTAATGGTAAATATAATTATATCTTAAAGCCTATTGGTTTAGTGCAAGCATTTGCGCTTTACAAGAGGCAACGGACTAGAGTTTGTGTATTCAAGCATGGAGTTGACGAATGAATCTCAATCCAGTGCAGGTGGTCTGTCACACTGCATGTATTTGATGTGCAGAACAAATAATGACTCCCTGAAGGCCACTGCATTTCATAAACTAACTAATATTGGCCGCTAAGCCCAACTTAACTGTTGACGCTTAATGCGGGAGAGGGCGCGTCATAGCCCTACTTCCGGAAGATGTATGCCCATATTCCAGTAATGCAGATTCGAGAGAATGAAATTGATTGGAAGACAAATGATCGTCAATATACATATTTTCGCAGCGACTGATTGTCAACAACTTTAGGGATTCTCTCAAAGTAGACAGCAAATTAACCGTAGAGGGACCGAATTCTCCATCTCAGATGATTACTGGATTCTGGGCGTGGGGAACTAACACTGTTCTACCTAATTTACAGTGATAAATTGCGCTGTCTGCCGACGATGTTTCCTAAATTCACACATACCGGACCTCGCTTTAAGGGCTTAGACCAAACAAGACACAAAATATTGTAGGGGCCACACTGAGAAACAGTCGTTACGGCCTGACCGACAGTTCTGAGTAGCGCGAAATTATGCCGTCTATTAGCGATCTTTTATGTTCCGACTGCTATCATGTCTTATTACGCTTTAAGCGTTTTTCTCATTCGTAACATAACGCTAAACTTGTTTTTTAATTTCCCCAGAAATTAACTGCGAATTTTGAGTGATCAGTGTATTTTAGGTTTATAGGCTCAGACCGAAATTTTCATATATCAACATTTAGGCCGAAGTCCATCAGCCGCAGTGGATAAACGCGTAATATTCACTAACTGCCGACGGGGCGCTAGTAGTATACGCAGAATGGCATGACCTACAAAGACATGGGAGACTGGAATGCCCATTTCTGGCAGATTAGCCGTCGCCAGCCAGTCATACCCAACCCCGAAGTGTGGAACACCCGAGGCTCGAACTCGCGACCTGTTAGTTAGAAGTCCACGCCCCTAACCACTGGGCCACGAGCCCGTTGCCCGGTCGGTTTCGATCAGGAATATACAATTTTGGGGGACGCTCACCGATCGTTCTTACGGACCTCGCTCGTTCCGTTGTGCCTTACGGGCTCTCTCGCGAGCCAAAACAGCAGCCGCACAGGGGCGCTGGCACTGAGCTCGTGACCCAGTGATTAGAGGCGTGGACTTCTAACTAACAAGCTACGAGTTCCAGCCTCGGGTGTTCCGAACTACGGGATTGGGTATGACTGGCTGAGGACGACTTATAAGCCAGAAATGACCATTCCAGTCTCCCTTGTCCTTGTCGGTAATGCCATTCTGCCTATATCATGCGCCGCTGTGCGGCTGCTGATTGGGCTCGAGAGAGATCCCTTAAGGCACAACGGAACGAGTGAGTTCCGTAAGAACGATCGGTGAACGTTCCCTACCTTCGCCAGTAGTATATTTTGTGTTAGGGAGATACCATACTAACATCAGAGATACTAGCCAAAAGCCCATACGCGCGTGTTTTGCTGACATTCTGTTGCTGCCTGACACGACTGCGAGGTGTTGGCTCATCAGTGAGTCGCCAGCTGTGGCTGATGGACTTCGGTCAGACACTCATACACAAATGTCTCGGTCTGATGCTAAAGACCTCGAATATACTGATCCACTCCAAATTCACAGTTAATTTCTGAGAAAATTGAAAAGCAACTATTTGTAAATCGGAGTGTCTACCAGAAAGCATACAAGGAGGGCTGGGCGACTCACTGATGAGCCGAACCCCTTGCAGCTGTGTCATGCAGCGGCAGAATATCGGCGAAACACGCGCGTATGGGCTTTTGGCTAGTATCTCAGATGTTAGTATGGTATCTCCTTAACCTAAAATAACGCTGAACGTCAGATGGATCGGTCATATTTTGTCTTTTCTCTGATACATCAGAAGCCTGTCCAAACTGGATTTACCTGCAGACACCTTTGCCATGCTGACGGAAGCTACGTAGGGTTGGGGTCTAGCCCTCGTTCCATCCGGGCTCAGTGTTTGCATTAGACATGCGAAATGCAAATCATTATGTGGCGAAATCATAATGTGACTGCCATAAGAATAACACTTGACGTCTCGCATACAAGCATTTGCCGATTACGAGACATCAAGGGTTCTATTAAAGCCAGATAAAACGGCAAACCTACTTGCAAGTTATTCCCTCTTGAAGAAAGTTGCGCCTTCATCAAACGCACGGTTTTCAACTTGAAATTACGCACCAAAGAAGAAAAACGGCGATTTCAGAGGAGAAACTCACCCACTAAAATCCCCGCTTATGCTTGGACCGAGCACCTAGTATCAGGGTGTCCTGCCGCAGAGACGAGAATGCTTTCATGAACAAATATGGTCGTAGGAAATGTGTAATCTACACGAGTAAAATATCCTACAGTTTCCAAAGACTGCTTTATGATGGCCTATAATTTGGTGATGATTCAAACCTCTGAATAGCATCTGCTTGTCTATTTCGCCGGTTTCTCCGTTGGTTTTTATCTACTTCGATTTTTTTGCACGGCCCTGTTTTTTTATTCTCGTGTGCTGGCTGTCTCAATTTTAACGAATTTCGCGTATACATTTAAACATCCGTGAACGCTTATCTTCTGTGAGCCTATAGCTTGCTTATTTTGCCATGACCCCACTTAATACCTTTTGGTAGATATGATAGGCCCGAATGAACTACTGAACAAGTACAGTTAAGTGGCACCCTTTCAAAAATCACGTTGACTATTCCGACTTCTGCCATCGTAAGGACTTTCAGATCGTCACATGTGCATCTAAGCACGCCATTCTTTTTGCGCGAATCTTCTGATACTTCCAAACACGGATGATCGAAACTATGCTCGTTGCCGTGATTCCGCTGTCTAGTTAGGTGCTGACTGCGTATACCTATCACAGAACTCGCTAGTTGTGGGTGAATTAAAGATAGGCTATAACACCACGTTTGGAGATATTTCACACCCTAAGTGATCTTCTACTGTTTTATGGCACTTCCATGGGAACCAGAACACCAGGGTGGGTTGTCTATAATATCTTTGTCTATAAAGAATCATGATAAAAACTGAATGACTTTTATTGTAGTCCCCCACTGACGTCACTCTTCCGCATATTTAACACATGAATTTACTTATATCGACCATATACTACTGTAGCTTATAGATGCGCCCTTTAGTCACAGAAAGAGACAGTAAAAACGACCCCTTTAATCGACTTAGCTATTAACTTGAGACTTCATTAAATAGACATTGCCATTCCGTTTTGTTTTTGAGGACATAAATGCTGTGACCCCCTCGATGAAGTTTAGATAAGTATTGCTCCGGACACACTCAAGCTCAAAACAACATCCTTGACAAAAGAGGACAACCTTTCGTAAAGACTAATAAAAAGTTTCATTTCTATAAAATAGATAGGTAGGCGTGAGATTAGGGGGTCGGGTAAAGGCGATCCAAAAGACGGTTAGTCGTCGACGGGTGAGTTCGGTTAGACTTTTTGTCACAATGCAGCCACGGAGCTGCTAGCCGGCCTGTTTGTCTTGCATAATTCGCTGTAGGAGTTTGCAGAAGCCTGAAAACGCATCATATGAACACATATCAGTAAATGCATCAAAAGTTTAGTCATTTTTTGAAAATATTTTGATTTTACTCCTAGAAATACCGATTTAAACGGGAAATACGTCACCTTCAAGTAATCATTTGCAAGAGCCCAACAGCAAATTGCCTAATAAATAAGTTAAAACCAGTTTTGAAGACTGTCAAGTCCGTGGTTCTGAACGAATTAACCAATGGGACCATCAAATGCGGAAGTTTTACACTAAGATCCATGTGACATATCTGTATTCATGCAAGCAAATAAACAATTTTTGTTCCAGTTCACTCGTGCAGTTGTAACTGCAGTCATCACCACATACTCATTAGTCAAGCGTCACTCCATAGTGGGATCATTTGATTGACATAGCATGCAGAAAGTGACTTATCAAGCATACTATCAAAGTGGCAATGCAAGGGAAGAGTACGAGCTAGAGCTGCGGGAACCGTACTTGTGTTATCGTTGTTTTATAAGCCTCAGAACTTTTCTATGAATGACTAAGCACTGTTTTTTAATTGACTTTGATGTCATTTGCTCAAAGGGCATTACAAGTGCCAAAAGCTGACACTATTTACGATTAACGCACTTTGCTAGCCTTTCCACGATATCAGTGAACAAGCATACTGTTTAGGAAGTCTTCTGTCTTAGCAAAAACGAAACTAAAGAGAAACTATGGCATATCTCTGCAAAAAGGTCATTCCACGCTATCTATTGCGCGTTTTGGTCCTGAAAGGCAAACTGCTGTAAGTTCCCTTTCAAGTCACCGTCAGTAGGCATGCAAGACAAAAAATCAGTCGAAATCTCAGAAATGTACTCAGAGATGTCTGGCCTATTATTGAAAGCACATTGCTCCACCTTCATGACAAGGCACCGCCAACAAATTTCTCTGGCATTAGTTTAACTGAAGAAACCACATGCTAATGTCCAAAACTCATACGAGTCGATTATCAGGGGTGAAAACAGCAATAAAGCAAGCGACGACTTCAAGTTAGATTGCCAAATCAATAATAGAGGTCGAAATTTTGATAACGATTTTCTTCTGCTATTTATAAGGTAGTGGGGTCGATGTGATGGTTTATTGATTTCCCACCAGGTGTCTTGAGTTTTAATAAAATCATCGCTATTCTCGCGTTTAATGCTGTCCAAAGATCTGACAGAGGACTTTCATGCTATTTCAAGGCATTAGAAAGATAAACGGGGGGTCGCTATGATTGGTTACCCCTTTCTTCCACATGCCAGTAGGCGCCTCATAGCTGAATATTTATCCCAATTCAATGTACCTGACAGCCTGATTAATGTAACTAATTCCAAAATTGTTTCACTGACCATTGTTTCCGTTATATAGTTTGTACTTGGAGAAAAGGCATAAAAACTGTGACAAAATAAAAATTTAAATTTTCCCTTCTGAGCCACCAAGTCAAAACTGTAGTCCTGTCAGAGTCTCGTACTTAAGATTTATTACTGAAAACTCCCTGGGCCCACAGTGAGTGACCGATCTCGTGAAAAGTTGGCTGAAATTCTGAAATGCGTTTTCGATTAGGAAGGATTACATAGGTGCGGCTGTAATATTGATTATCTTGCGGCATAATCCAATAATATTTTGGACTCGGCAGGATGTCGGCATTTGAATGCACTGATTTTCAAACGCCCGTAGAAACCGTACTCGACAAGAAATGACCACTTACGTAGCATGCATTTCACATTGATTTTCGGCAGTCTTGCAAAGTCAAACGTATTTTATAGAAACTACGAAAAAATATGCTCTTTTCAGTCGTCTGATAGAGATTTACGTCTATTTATATTCGATACTTGAAGAAGAAGTATATTTAGCTTTTTAAAATGTTTTCTAAGTCCTGAATAATTTGGAACCTGATCAGTCGTTGCATTAGCGTTCAGACATTTCAGTCTACAATGCGCATGCGTTCGCGTAAAGAAAATCACATATTCTTCTATGCTTTTTAAACGATAATAAGCGGAGTCTACAAGATTTTGCGATGAATGCGGACTATGTTGTATATTTCATGGGCGTGGTGGTAAAACGATAAGTGGGATGCTGTATGAATGGACGCTAAATGTTCTTACAAATCTCATAATTAGAAACATTTTAAAAAGCTTAGTATACTCCTTCTTCAAGTATCGAATATAAATAGACGTAAATCTCTATCAGACGACTGAAAAGAGCATATTTTTTCGTAGTTTCTATAAAATACGTTTGACTTTGCAAGACTGCCGAAAATCAATGTGAAATGCATGCTACGTAAGTGGTCATTTCTTGTCGAGTACGGTTTCTACGGGCGTTTGAAAATCAGTGCATTCAAATGCCGACATCCTGCCGAGTCCAAAATATTATTGGATTATGCCGCAAGATAATCATTATTACAACCGCACCTATGTAATCCTTCCTAATCAAAAACGCATTTCCGAATTTCAGCCAACATTTCACGAAATCGGTCACTCGCTGTAAATCAACCATTAGATGCTATCTGAAGAAAATAACTTTTACAGCACAATGTCAATTTTCTTTTTTTCAAAAAACCAACTAATATTCAATCTAAAATTATTACTGCATCGATTATATTGTTTGACGTATAAATGACAACAATTATCAGTAAGTCTGCACTTACTATTGGACTAACGCAAAAACATCGCTCGCTGTTGGTTCGAACTATCGTTAAGCCTGGGCAGCTGAGGAATTCGTTGCATTTCTTATTAACTGTTTCAGGCGAGAGCAGACAGTCAGCGGCCTTGGTGCATGAATTTCGTCTTATAACTACCGCCTGCTGGCGGAAGTCCTCATGCACTTCGTTACTCAGTTGAAGGACCTCCGTGGACTTCGACTCCCCAATGGCTACCTTGGAGTTAGAGGCATGCAAATTTATCAAAATTTGTGGCCGCGAAGTTGTTGAGCGGGGTTCCACAACTGTGACCGTTTTCACCGGCATTCGGTCCTCTGAAGGAGACAGCTCACTATTTTCGCACTGTATAGGGTCTTTTTCACTGAAGACCTCTTCTTCTTGCGTGCCTACAGAAGGTACGGGTTCAAGCCTGGGGAGCAGAAGAAGGTGCTGGTCCCTCGAACTGTGAAGATCGGGCTCATTTGTCATAAACTCGTTGGTGATTGAGTCGGAATCATCGTTGTCCAAGGAGAAAGCCTGACGTTTTAGCCTCTGGACTGGAAAAATATCCCCAAAAGTTTTCCTACGAAGTCTGAAAAACAGGACAGAGAGCGTTTAGCTCCCTATGAAGATCCACAAATAGACGAAAGCCAAGGCTCACTGAATTCAGTTAACGACCTCATTGAATGTTACCTGAAATTTTGAAATGCGTTTTCGATAAGAAAGTACTATTCAGTACCGCTGTAATATTGATTATCATGATATTTCGGGCCCGGAGGGAAGTTGAATTCTGGATGCCGACCTTTGTAGTCGCATAAAAAATAGCAACAGACAATAAGTGACTGCTTATGCAGTATGCAGTTTTCCACTGATTTCGAATGCCCGCATAGATTTAAATGTTATCCATCGAAGACATGGGCAAAACGTTCTTTCTCGTATTCATTTGATAGCGAATCCTTTCTTCTTTCTATTTTACATTCGAAGAAAGATCATCTTTTGGTTCTAAAAGGGTCTTTTGTTCTCGAGTAATTTTGATCTCAATCTGATACTGCACTTGCATTCACTATTTCAGAACTTCATGGGGTATACGTTCAATGAAAGGAAAATCTTGCATTTTCTACTGTATTTAGAAGACTCATATACAGCTTATAAAAGTTTGCAATGAATGAGGACCCTGTTGTATACCTCACAGGCAGCAACAACAAATATTCAGATGCGATGCCGTAGGAGTGAACATTTCATGGACATAAGAAATCGCAAGATCACGAAATTCATAAATTCAGAAATATCTCTCCTTCGAGTAAAAAATTTAAATAAGTGATTTGCCACAGGTGAGCACAAAAAGAATTTTTGTGCACGTTTTCCCTGACGTGTATTTGAATTTGTATGGCCAATGAGTGCGGATTTTACGTGCGATTATAACGAATTGCTTCCAAAATCCAACATTCCTGAGACTTTGAAATATTACAAAATTAGGCAGCGCGATAGTCAATATCTCAAACCATCTAAGTAGTCGAAAACGCATTTCAGGATTTCGGCTGACATTAAATGGGGTCGGTCACCGATTACACTTCGGCTGTAAAATAAACCAATAAAGTTGTGCTAGTGTATTGGAATTTTTTTGGAGATACAGTGCTATCTCATGCAGGCAGAATAAAAACTGAAAACAGTTCAGGTATGTTCTAACCTGTAAAAACGAAAGGCGCTGCACGATAATAAAGGGGATAGAAAAGATGCTTGTTGTATCAGGGCAACGGACCACGTCTTGAATAGTTTTACAAACCTGCACAGTTCAGCGATGAATGGAGTTTAAAAGCATGCTGGGGTTTTCCTGCAAGCGGAATCCACCTCCATAAAATTAATAATTCCCTTAATGATCGATCTCTTGTTCAAATTCCATATCTACATACAAGATAAGACACTTGACAACTTATCCCCGAAAACTTGCCATCCGTTGGACGTTTTAGCGTATACATGGAACTTGCGCAGGATGATCTGCATTTAGTGCTGGAATAAACATTTCAGTTTTGCTCTGGAGTTACACGTCTTAAGCGCACTCATGCAATCGCATGTCAACTACCTATGCATTTCGTTACTACTGGCTGATGACTGCAAATTAATTAGATATGACTATCTTCAGCACAACTGTCCACTGTTTCGGAATGGCCGGCAAGAAGGTAAACTTTTGCAAACAGTGACTTTAAAGTAGTCAGATATCTTTTATGAGAAAGTCACAGTGACTAAAGAAGTAGATCGAAGAAAGCTAAAAAGACTTTTGTCATTTCACATTCACCCTGTCACTCATTTATATTTGCCCTTCAAGTGGATTTGTAGCCTTATTAATGGTTTTTTTGACAGATCTGCAGTATTCATCTAACCAAGTTACAAAAACCTTGGTGACCTCGGGGAAATGCGAGTCAACAACAGCAAAGGCCAGGTTCGAGTACAATCAGTGCACCAACTGCCTGAGCCACAAGGCCTTAGCAGGAGCCGTGGCCTGATTCAAATCTTATTGAACTCCTGGCTCTCGCTCGGGCTTTTATAGCCCAGATGTTTGTACAGTAAATGGGCTAACTCATGTAATCTCAAGAGAGATTACGAAATACGCTTCCGTTTCGAAAAGATTAATTAAGTAGGGCTGTAAAACAATTCATCGTGCAACATAATTCTATAATAATGCAATTGGCCGAGGACACAGGCATTCGAACAAACTTCTTTTTGGCTGTATCCAGAAACCATACTCCGTAGCATGCATTTTTCATTGATTTTCGATACCCTTAAAGATCCAATTATATTTCATGGGAAACGTGCATAAAAATATTCACTCTTTTGCCCATTCAGTAGTAAAGTACGTCTTCTTTTAACCGTACACTCGAAAGAAGAGTGTTTTTGGGTTTCATAAAACTTTTCCAATCCCCGAATAACTTTTAACCCAACCTGCTGTTACACTTGCATTCAGGGCTTCAAAACGACAAGCCGTATATTTTATGCGTTCGGAAAATCACAAATTTCTTTACGGTTATATGGGGCGACCATATAGAGTTTATAAGATTAAGCAGTGGATTTGAACCAAATTGTTAACTTTACAAGCCACATTGGTAAATGCGGAGACATGAAGTTTTATGAAAGACCATTTTACGGTCTTAAAAATCTCACAATTAGACACTTTTATTCATACCCATCGCCGAGTGTACGGTTAAAAGAAGACGTAATTTATTACGGAATGGGCAAAAGAATGAATATTTTTATGCACGTTTCCCATGAAATATAATTGAATCTTTAAGAGTATCGATAATCAATGAAAAAATGCATGCTACTTAAGTAGTTATTTTATACGGAGTATGATTTCTCGATACAGCCGAAAAGAGGTTGGTTTGAATGCCTGTGTCCTTGGATAACTGAATTATTATAGAATTATGTTGCACGATGATTTGTTTTACAGCCCTACTTAATTAATCCTTTCGAAACGGAAACGTATTTTGTAATTTCTCTTGAGATTTCATGAGTTAGCCCACCTACTGTAGTTTTGGCCGTACCAAAGCCTTGCCCTTGCTCTTGCAGGCTGGAGCCTCGACGAGAGCACCGTGGTTTTTAGCATCTAAGTCAAAAAAGTTGTATATCTATAATGCGCCATAAATTACTTCTTAAAACTAAGCAACAGACAACCCGTTTTACATTTCGCCTTATCTTAGCTTGACAGTAAAACCTCAGAAATAAACCGGAAGATCAAAGCCTGTTTATGATTGGCATTCTGTGTATGAAAATATTTCAGACTGAAACCTTAGCATGTAGGCCAAGCAAAGGGAAAGTTTAAAAGAAGAAGTTTGTTCATTTAAAGTTCACTTTAGTTCACAAGTCTGCTCATGATTTTGCCGCATAGAGCCCTGTCTAGCAGGCAACTTTTAGGCGTCCAGCAACGCTCATAAGCGCTTCTTCTGGTCTCTTGGGATATTCGTGCCAAGCAGTTACCCTACGCACTTTAGGCAAGAACACTTCTTTAACTGGTTAATAATGTCTACTAACGGGATCTCTTCAAAATTACAGGCATCAGAAATAAGGGTTTTTTAACAGTATTATTGGAGTTGATACGTCGATCAAAATAAGACATAATATAAATTGGACTGCGGAATGCGAGGGTAGATTTTGTTATTTCTTTATTAAAATAATTAAAAATTAGACAGTGATCTGTTAGATACAATAAATACGTCCGCGACAGCAGAGTTTTTAAGCATTTTCACTGCAATTTTGGAAGTTGTGACAGCAAACCTAAAAACAATACTGCATATTTTGGGGCACCAGGCGTTTGGCGACACGCATTGCAGGGCGATAGCGCAAACAGAATTTAGATAGAACAAATAATCTAAACTGAGTTGATCATCATATTATTAGCAATCCAAATATACTTAAAATCTGCTTTTGACGAAGCACCCTGAAGATATTTTGTTTCTTCTCATGCATATCATAAACTTTCAGAACTGCGGTTACTAAGATTAAGAAAATTATTATTAAACTCGAACTGCGAAAGTTCCAGACGACTGTCATTGAATTATGTTTAAAACGAGCCCAACTGTTGATAACAATTTACTGCACATGTTGGTAGCTATTGTTTTAAAAATTTATTATTATGACTCCATGCTTTGCAATTTATGTCTTTCTACTATGTAAAGGATCAGACAATTAGTATGGACTTCCGCTTGGAGTTAAATTATGACTCAGACTTAATTCGAAACTGGTTAACGTGAGCAGGTAAAGGAGCAACTACGGGTGTCATGGCTTAAGGCCACTCTTGATAAAACCAATTTCTAACCGTTCAACGTAATGAAAGTAGCAAAGTTAGTGTTCTGTCAAAGGGAAGTGACAGGCGAAAAGAAGAATTTGACCAATCTACTGCAACTTATAGTGTACACCGATCCTCGTACAGTAAGCTGACTGTCCAGGCTGTATTTCCCAAGCCGTTAATGCAGAATTCATCATATGGGCAAAATTACTCAAATTTGTCAAATAAACCTATTGATAAAATAAGTCTTGTATGTAGTCATCTGGTGCATTCGAAACTGATTGTTTAAGAAATTCTGTTAAGACAATCAGTTTGCTGTATCTGAATTGGTGCATTCAAGATGTTTCAGGAGTTTGGACGGGTAACTTGACCGAAATATGGTCAGAACCACGGCCCCTGCCGAGGCCTCGTAACGCAGGTGGTTGTACCAATGGCTTCGCTGAAGCCTTGTCCTTGTTGTCGTGATTGCGAATCCCACCGAGGTTGTCGAGCTTTCATTGTTTGGTCATTTGAATTACTTAAATTAGTCAAAACGCTTAATGATATCCCCGTCGCTATGAGACTGAATCAAGTAATAACCTCCGCGGAACATCTTAATGAGGTCCTCGTGGACAGGTTATTTACAATCGAAAAAAAAATAAACGACAGGTTGATTTTCTTGTCAGGCATAAGAAGAGCCATACAGAGCAATTACGAGCCTTAACAGCAGTCAGTCAGTTGCAAACCGGCTGAGTTTGGGCACAATGTCGGCTTGTTAATAACAGTGTCTTCACCGTGTGTTTATAGCAAATAAATACCATTATACTAGCGTTAAGTTGTTGGGATCAATGTCATATGTCAATGAAGTCTCGAAAGCCGTCTGTCGCCTCTTCACGCCCCTTGAATTTGTTGTTTCACATAAACCGGAGCTAAGCGTTGTGCGCCAAGTCGTTAGACCGAACGGCCACTGCGAAAAACGCCTGAAGTCGTTTACCGAGTCTGATGCAGTTGCTCGTAAAGCAAATCTGCTGGAGAAATTGAAAGATTACTCCGGACGCGGATGGTCGAGCACGCTGAAACAGTGAGGAGGGACGGCACCAGCTCCTATCTCGCGCCTCATTCGACGTCACCTGGCCACAAATTCAAGTTCAATAAGACCAAAGATTTCACAAAAGACAATAACCGCACGAGCCGCTGGCTGTTTGCTTTATGTTTCTCTGGCCCGCAGTTTATTAGCAAACTCAATGTCTTTCTCCTCCTTCGGTGCTGAGACTTTGTCTAGACAGTGAAAAGGAGCATAAAAGGAGCTTGCGGGTGAACATTACTTCAAGGGAGATTCTCAGAAAGCGACTTTCTCGAGTAGTATTTATGCCATTAAGCAACAGCAATAATGAATTTGCGACAATTAGCGCCTCGGATGCAGGCAAACGTGCAATAATGGTAGAGAACGCCCACCGATCGTTCTTACGAAACTCACTCGTTCCGTTGTGCCTTATAGGCTCTCTCTCGAGCCCAATCAGCAGTTGCACAGCGGCGCATGATACAGGCAGAATGGCATTACCGACAAGGACAAGGGAGGCTGGAATGGTCATTTCTGGCTTATGAGCCGTCGTCAGCCAGTCATACCCAACCTCGAAGTGTGGAAAACCCGAGGCTCGAACTAGCGATCTATTAGTTAGAAGTCCATGCCCCTAACCACTGGGCCACGAGCCCGTTGCCCTATCGGTTTCGATCGATAATATGCAATTGCAGGGGGCGTCCACGCCTCTAACCACGCCCCTTATGCCATTATACCTATATCATGCGCCGTTGTGCGGCTGCTGGTTGGGCTCGAGAGAGAGCCCGTAAGACAAAACGGAACGAGTGAGTTCCGTAAGAGCGATCGGTGAGCGCCCCCTACCATTGCATATTCCCTATCGAAAACCGACAGGGCAACGGGCTCGTGGATCAGTGCTTAGAGGCGTGGACTTCTAACAATCTGGTCGAGAGTTCGAGCTTCGGGAGTTCCACACTTCGGGCTTGGGTATGGTTGGCTGACGACGGCTAATAAGCCAGAAATGGCCATCCCAGTCTCCTGCCTTTGTCGGTAGTGCCAAGCGTGCAATAATAACATTGAAAGTTATCTTCAAAGATGAAAGCATGGGCTGTTACTTAAACAGGTATGTGTAGTGACATGACAACTACATCCTATGAATATTGTTTCCTTGAGCGTTCATCACCTTTATCTGCAATTGTCTCTAATGCTGTATTTTAGTGAAAATCTGAACGGCCTGCCAAATAAGAATTCCGGTTTTAGCGATTAGGCATCATTTTTTTAAATTCAAGAACTCGTTGTTTCATTGTGTCCACAAGTATCCATAAATAAAATTACTTGCATAATCACTGTAAACAGTTAAGTGTGCAAAATTGTAGTTTCCCACAACGTACTTTTCGCTGTTGTTTCTCGTTCGAGAACTGTTGGAAAAAGCTTCGTAGTTTCCACTGATAAAGTTCTTTAACTGGGTGTTGTCGCCCTCCTGTGCTAAGAGTTGTTTGCTTTCTTTGTGTCGACCCAGTTTACGTCTTGGGGAATCGTGCGCTTCCTCCAGTGCATTGCTCATCTGTCGCATTATTACATTTCTAACAAGGTTATCTGCACGGCTTCGCATGAGCTGAGCTCGTCTGGAGTAGATAGTACCGGCCGCAGTGTTCTCCCCGACAGAAAAGATATCGTTGCTGTTTAGACTATTGGTTTTCATGGAGAGCCTACTTCCACTGTTGAGGGAGTCGCAGGCAACGCTAGAGATGTTATCACGGGAAATAAAGAGCCCAGAGTTCATTGATGATTGTGCCGTCTGAAATAGAGAAATCAGGCACAAGTGAGGTATACATGTTATATGCATGGAAGCACTTTTGACAGAGATGTCTGTAGAGGGTACTTTTAGGCACATTTCAGAGAACTGTCCGATTAATGAGAACAGATACCCGTATCGTAGCCTTTTCAGTATTCATAAACAATTTGGCAACTAGACCCTATTTTTTGTTTTCTTTCAGTATGCGCTGTAAGCCTGATACCGTTTTTACTTGTGGACTTTATTAGATTGTGATCTTCTAACGAATGGTCCAGACATTTAATATTAAGCGACAATTTCTGCCCAGTACTGCGCTACCTTATAGCGCATAGTTCGCACAATCTTTTGCCAAATCAAAAGTACTTTGTACATGATCGTTTTACGTTGACCTTATATGTCACGGAAGCAATAAACTGTCTGCTTTTTCCGTTTGACACTGACGTTTCTGACGCCAGGTGGACACTTAAACAAAAGCTCCAAAAATTCAACTATAGAACTTAATAGACTTCCATTTTTCATCTGTGCGTTAGGAGGAAGTGGTCTGGAATAAAGTTTCAATAGTTTTCAAACGTAAGCAGGCAAGTAAGGAAAAGATAAAATCTTTTCTAGCTACGGTTGCAGAAATCGGAAACCTATCCTTGCATTTTTCATTCAAATGCTCAGTTAGTGCTTATTTTGGTGGTAAAAAGTAAACGGACACTTTAAGAACTATCTTTCACTAAAGCTAGCTAATGTATTGTTTTCAGTTCAAATATATGTCTGTTAGCACAATTATAGACTTTGAACCGATGCCCATATTGAGATATTATTTGAACAAAAGATATCTGCGTTGCATTCTCTGTGTTGATTCCGCGCTGTTGTTTTCGGGGTACAAGACTTAGCTTGCCCTGAATTTAACTACAGCACACTCCGGCATATGTCAGCGAGTCACAATCTGTTGAAACATATTTTGGACATTTTATCCAAAATTTTAATTAAGCAAGTAAATCAGATTTAGCTAGCAGCAAAATATTATTTGCTTTTGTTACAACCACGTGGATAGTATGGAGAGCAAGCACTTTTAAATAGCAATTTCTGTGGTATCTGTTTGGTTTTCCTTCTGAACACATAAAACCGCAATCAAGAAGACTGCCTAATCATCTAAGGGTTAATAATTTTGTACTCTGATTATCAATAAAGCTCACAGCTATCAAAAGCGAATGTTTTGAATTCTACTCATAATCTCTATCTTTGTACTTCTGAGTATTAATTATATCAGGGCGTTGTGAGTGCCACTAATAGAAGTTGCATGCATTAGTAAATGCAAGGCTGAGCCAACGAGCATGATAATCTTACTTGAGGATGGGGCTGTAAAGGACTTCCAGTATTGTTGTTTCCAGTAAAGCGAGCCAGCGCCTCCTGACGCGATATGGGGGCGCCGATCATGCCCCCCATGAATCCTGTTGTCAGGGCAGCGATGGATTTTAGAGCGTTCTGGGTTTGCTCTTTAGAGTGACGAACATCTAAAAATGCCTGGCGCGTTACTTCTGATTTTCACACGGAATTATTTACCAAATATGCGTGAAAACCTCAGACAGGAAATGTTATAAATAGCCAGTGAGCAATTAAAATAGCTCTAAATCCGGCCTGCAGGCTTTTAAGTGGACATATTTCTGGTCAATTATGGACACTGTACTCTGAAACCCAGCAGTTGCATCTAAATTGCGTTTGATTTCTGTGCGCATTTAGTTGTACATTTTGACAAAAATGCACAGACAACTTCTCCAAATGCTTATCGTACCTGAAAGATAAACTCTTTGCAAATTTCCTGTCTGCTGCAGGGTAGTAGTTCGGTTTTTAAAATGTCTTCAATTGTGAGAAGCCATAAGACGTTGGCATGGCTATTTACCTAACATCAAGTGACAATGCGCAGAATCATGCAGACGTGCTACGAAGAAAATTATTATGACACTTACAAACATGCTGGTCTACAAAATTTACGATCGTTTGTGGGCTCTTTACGTAATATGTGTCCCTCCTTTAGAGAGGAAATTCGAAGAGGATGTAAATTCATTGGCAAGCGGTACTGAAGTAAACCTTCTGCTCGCCCCTTTTTTAAAACTACAGTGGATTCGTACATGCTTAAAATTGAAGTTATAAAACAGGCAGTTTTATCGTTGTTTTCCGGTGAAATTCACGTGAAAGGAATAAAGGATATCCACTTAAAGAAAAAATAACATCATTCTGGGACTGCCTGGAGATTATGGTCGTTGCAGATCAATTTCTCAAATTCACTTATGTGATCTTTTCTACTTGAAAAATATTGGTAAATGTCTGCTGAATTTGGATACGTACTGCAAATTTTTCTGGAGACTAAGATCGCCCAAAGTAAATTTACGTTTCTTTGAAAAGCCCCAGCCATGACGTTTACGCTGCTGAATCTATCTGTGTTATCATTCCAAGCATCAGTTTTCAGTTAATTATATGGCACACCGTTCTGGATGTCACTCTCTAGTAGCATAGGTCTAGGCAGTAGGAAGTGCTGGAGCCGCATTGGCAATCTATGTTGGTAGAGTTAGGGAGCAATGCGTACGCTATCGCACCACAAAAGTAGATTGGACAGGATCAAATAAAATGTTTTGCTCTAGTTGATCCGTTACCTATGGAATAAAACCTCCAAAAACCGCTTTAACCACAAGCATTGTGCAATTCCGCACGAATAGTTGTGATTTACCTGTAGAATTAAGATACAAAATGCTTTTAAACACCACGCTGAAGTAATTCAGCATATTTAAGCGGAGCAATTCAATCAAACACAAGTTGACAAAGCCCCAATAACTCATTCGTCCCACTAACTATGGTAAAGTGCACTTGAAATAAACGCTCAACCAGGCGCGCAGCATGATTTACCAATGTTTTTTAATGAAATCTCAAGCATTTGCTCAAAATGTTACTTACAGCGGGGCTTGCAATCGCGTATGGTTTCCTCCGGTGAGCCAAGTGATCTTAAGAGTTCTTCGAGCGCCAATATATGTTTCTAAGTATTTCGATAAAAACGTTACCAAAATAAAAATCTAAAAGAATGAAATATCGAAATACCAAAGATAATCGTTCTAAATTGATTAATTGAGAACCAAACCATTGAAAAGATCAAAGTCCTGATGCATAAGATAACGGTCAGGCTAAAAGCCAATTTGTAATGGTTAATTTTAAAATTTAAAATTGCACAGTGTCAGCGTTTTACTCGTAACAAGTGCTGGCACATCGTCCTCTCTGGAAAGAAGTTAATTATTTTACATTTAAATAATGCTTGTAATATTGAAACAATCGACCTGAAAAAAACACATTTCACAACAACTGCTTTAAGCTGTGAATGTGATTTTAACGGATATGGTTTACTATACTTTTACATAAACGAGAATTAAATGGGCGCGATTTCATTTTGGTGGTAACTCTAAGAAATATTGCAATTTTATGAAATAAACCTACCTGCTGTAATTCCTTCTCGCGTTCTAGATTATCAACTTTTTTCTCCCCTAAACGTCTCGCACGCTTTTGTAAAGTTACCCGAAATTCACACCTTTGACGTTCATACATGAGCATTGCTGAAAAAGCAGACAAGAAATGATTTCGGGATCTTTTAGTATTTGGAGTTGTTGTTTGCATGGTAAAAACCGCTTAGGCCTAAGATTTTGAATAACTAACACTACTTTAGTAAACTCGAAGCAAAAGTACGACTTTTTCTCAACGTTTAAAGACAAATAAGTCCCCATCAACAATACGTACCATTTATCAATCTCGCAATCCTCCACAAAAGGAGAATGACCATTGCAGATATCTCTTGGGAGTCAACTCTAACATAACATATGTCCGACAAAAAAGATACCAAAATAACCATCGCATCAATTACCTATAATTAAAAGAAAGTGCATAGGAAAAGTTATAAATTCAGCAATCTGACGTGAATGGATAAAACATAATACAGAGCATAAATTTAGTCATAACTTTCCGTTATTTGGTCGGCACTCCAACAAGTGAACTTGTTTGATTATGAAGGCCCACTTTTGTTTGACCTGTTTTTTTACAACTAATTCCGTTTACGTTGTTTTAATCAAAATTTACAACTCACACCGTAAATGAAGTTTAGAAAATTGTTGCAAGTTACTTCTCAGACGACTGTCATCGGCAACATTCTCAGCAAACCAGCAACGTATTTCAATGTATCCAGTTCCCCTCAGGATTTTAAAAATCGACGGTCTGCAGTGCGTTTAGCGGCAAACAAAATGAACGCAATGACGACATACAAAACATATTTATAAGGCAAAACTATCCTCAACTGAGGTTAGTTAAGTATTAATGGTTTTAAACATGACGTTTATACTTTATATTAACTATTTCCGACTAAATGCAGTGAACCTTTAAAGTGTACGCATGACTTCTGTTTGTGTTTCTAAAATATTTCTTCTATTTGGGAAGTATTGGTTAAAATAATTTGCAAAAGCTACTCTTTGGCTTTAACCATGTCACTATGGAGAGCAGTTGGACGCTAGATCGTTTTCTAAACATGTAGGTGTGTGTCATAGAAAACAAAAACTTAATAGTTTGTATTTTGAGATATTTT